AGTGCTTCATCCCTTAGCTGTAAACACAAACCGGACTATGCGCATGCGGGTAGGAATGGGAATCGTCAGTACAGCCTCCTACCCGCCAGGTATTGAAAAGACATGTAGCTAATTTGCTAGAAAGATGAGTGAAGGGAAAAGATAAAGGGAGTAAGAAGGATTGAAACTATTTAATATGAAAGAAGTAGGAGTGATAGAGTAAGTGGAAGAGGAGGGAACTAACATATGATAAGGATAGTAATTTTATGAAGTTATGAGGAGACAGCTTTAATGAGAATATCGTTATGAGGAAACAGCTTTCATGAGAATTCATGAGGATATCGAAGTTTTGCCTTAAACGCAGACCTTCCGTCTGGAAAGTGAGTGTTCTCGGTTTTAATCTGAAATGTGTGTACCCGGTTTTTGTGAAGGAAACGATTTTTAGAAACAGCGGAGGGTGCTGATGATGGAAGGCAAGCAAATAAACGTGTTGAAACAGCAACTCAAGCAAAAAATGAAGCGCTGGCGAAGTTGAGTCAGTATTACAAAAGAATGGAAGAGTTTGCCGATGAGGCAGAACAACTGCGAAAACATGTAGGTTCATAACTTCAGTTTTCTGGCCAAAAAAAACTCGGATCAGAGATTTAGTACTGTGAACTTATAGCAGAAATCTGCAACCCCCACACCATGTCTTGAATAGTAGGTATTAGTGCTGCAAATTATTCGGAAATCCGAAAAAAGGATGATAAGTACTGGAAAATTTGGAATGCTACTAAAATGCTAAAGGAAATAATGAAATTAACAACGTTTAAAAGATTGGAGCAAGACGGGGTAAGACACTTCTTACGGCCACGTGTGTGATTTGGTCGCAGTGTAGGCCAAAAAAAGAAAAAACATTCGAATTTTAGTATTTAGTGAAACTCAAAAGAGCCGTTTAACTACGTCAGGTAAGCAAACCGGTATTTAGAGTAGGTGACGTCTGTGTTTCATCCCTGAGTTGTAGCTGGACAGATGGCTAAATAGCTGCGAAATGGGGTGAGATGATATGCTCGATCCCCTTGTGGCCGATGCTTCTTGTTTAAGATTTAACGAAGCTTCGTTAATTGCATTTCAGAGGAACTGAGGTAGCTGGACAAACCAAACCATTGAAAGATTACCATAAATTCTGTAGTTTTTACTTCGACGAGCTATTGTTTCATTTGTAGCACACTCTGTCGCTGTCTGTGTATCCGGCAACTTCTAGTTAGAAGCTGTAACTGAAAGTGCGCCCTCTGATGAAGTGAATTGCTCGTGGTATATAATGCTACAACAAAACTAACCTCATCGTGGGGGACCAGGAATTCGTGTGGTTTTTGTTCCCTTCGAGAGGAATGCTAGATGTATCACATCTCCTTCGCTGTATCTGTAGTCTTTTAGCGATCCTCTTATATTCTTTCGCAAACATCATCTCACTTACCATCCTGTAAAGAATCGTGAAAGCTAATTAGATACATTGGACTCGGTATCCTGTAATCCCTGAGCCAGCATGTTTTATTTTATTTGTTTGTTATTAAGTGTTGTAGAAATTTTAGAGATATAAACAGTGAATATCCCTAGCTGTGAGATTGGAAGAGGACGGGGGCCTGAAATCGCTTCTATGCGTTAAAATATGTAGTTTGTTTGGCATTTTGGCTTATCGTGGAGAGGAACACAGTCGGATTTTGATAATTAGTAATAACACTGGAAGTGCCATTTAGATCTCCCATATAGGCAAGCCTGTATGTGCTGTGACTTGGGAACCTGACGGTGTTTTATTAACTTTCTTCGAATAGTGTTCTTCCAATTTCATTCAGTTTTATTGTTTTTATTTTAAATTTCTACACCTACTGAAGTACAACTGCTAATTCGTAGTCTAATTTTTCGTCTGTGCAACTGCCAACTTTTCTAGTATTTGAACCAGTGTTGCACTGCATTGTGGGCAACTTGCTGACAAGATTTGCTGGGCAGAGCTTTAGGGATTTGCTTGATATGTTTGTTAAGCGCGTTGAGTATCATCAAGTGGTTTTGTCTGATGAGGGGCTATATTGACTGGCTAGTAACCTTCTATTTATTGGGCGCATCCAGGCGATTTTTCTTCCCCACCTTCCTCCACCCTGCCCTGTTAGTCGGCCCTAAATTGTGGCGATGACCAGGAAGGTTGGAGGGCGACGCGAGGTACTGAACAGAGTTTTCTATAGTAAAACAGTTGCTACCTGAGCCCATGGGGAAGGGGAAGGGGACGAAAGACCCCTCGTTCCCTCCTCCTCCTCCC